CCTGAGTAGACACCTTCGTCAGCCACTGGCGACGAGGGGAGCCTGCAGACGTTGCCTGCGGCGCCGTCCAGGGGCATCGCCAGCGGCCGACGTGATGTCAAACTCGTCGACGAGGGCGCGAAGCCTTCGACGGCAGGGGAGCTGCGGGTGGAAAAGATGCACCTGACAGGGGAGCCATTGACGAAGGAAGAGTCTGCAGAGGCACCGCCGACAGGGGAGCAGTTCGACGATGGTTCGTCGAGTGACGTTGTGGAGGTCATTGGTGAACCTGATGACGACGAAGGGGAGCTGTCTGCAGGGGAGCAGTCCACTGACAGTGATGTGGTGGAAGTCAAAGCTGACGAGCCTCCACTGCGACGTTCCACTCGTGTCAACTTTGGCAAGCCTCGCGAGAAGCTGAGCTACCATGCTTGCTTGCCCCCCACCTCCTACAGCACGTTGCTCGACGATGCGCAGGACGACGTCGACCTGCCCGAGCTCGACCCTGACGTGCATGCTGACCCAGAGCATCGCTGGGACATCGCAACGATGACAGTAAAGGAGGCTCTGGCGAGCTGGAAAGGCAAGGCGGTGAAGGCGGCGATGGACGAGGAGATTCGCAGCCTCATCGCCAATGGCACATGGGAGCTGGTCGAACGTCCGCGCGGGGTGAACATTATGAGGAACCGGTGGGTGCTGACGACGAAGTATCACATCGATGATACGGTCGCTCGTGAGAAGGCACGTTTAGTCGTGAAGGGCTTCACGCAGGTGTACGGCGCCGACTATGAAGAGACGTATGCACCGGTCAGCAGCTACGTCACGCTGAGGATCTTCCTCAGCATCGTCGGTGTCCGCGACTTGCACCTGATGCAGCTTGACATGAAGAATGCATTCCTGCAGAGTAAGCTGGACAGGGTGCTGTACATGTACCAGCCAGACTACTATGACGATGGAACTGGCCGGGTGTGCAAGCTGTTGAAAAGCCTCTACGGACTGAAGCAGTCACCCCTGCTGTGGTACAGGGCCCTCGACGGAGTGCTGCTGGGCGCTGGCTGGAAGAAGAGCCAGGTCGACGAGGCTCTCTACTTCAAGGTCGGCGACGGAGGAGTGATGTGCTGGGTGCTTGTCTACGTTGACGACCTGCTTGCTGCCAGCAGCAGCCTCGCGATGCTGAAGGAGCTGAAGGAGCTGCTGGAGGCTGCCTTTGAGCTTCGCGAGATCAGCCCGGTCGAGAGGTACCTTGGGCTGGAAATCGTTCGCGACAGGTCGGCAAGGAAGCTATGGCTGCACCAGCAGTCGTACGTCGACAAGCTCCGCAGGCGTTTCATCGACGAAGAGCAGACCGGGCGCATCCCGAAGACGCCGGTCTCCGTCGACGCCTATGCGGAGCTGACATTCGATGACGAGGATGCTCAAGCGCGCGAGGAGGAAGAGTACAGGCAGAAGGTTGGCTCGCTGCAGTTCGCGGCGACGACGACGAGGCCGGACATCGCGTTCGCGTGTAGCAAGCTGGGAAGCGGCCTGACGGTGCGGAGTGATAACCACTGGCGCGAGGTCGACCGTTGTCTGCACTACCTCGCCGACACCTGTGACACTGCCTTGGAGTTCGGCGGTGGACCAGGTTCGCTGTGCCTGGTCGGCTACGTGGACGCAGACGATGCAGGAGACAAGCAGAACCGGACGAGCACGGGTGGCTATGCATTCGTCTTCGGAGGGGCCGCAGTTTCCTGGTCGAGCCAGCGCATCAAGTGTGTGACGCTCTCCTCGACCGAGTCGGAGTACGTTGCGGCCACGGAAGCTGGCAAGGAGGCTCGTCGACTTCGCTTCCTCCTTGCAGAGTTCAAGCTGCTAGACCCTGGGACGCCGACTGTCCTTCGTGTGGACAACCAGTCGGCCATCACTGTCGCGGAAGGCTTGGGGCTGAAGGGCAACCTCAAGCACATGGAGCGACGTTATGCTTGGCTGCAGCAGATGGTGAAGCGTGGGAAGATTGCGTTGAAGTACATCCCCACCTCTGAGCAGCCAGCTGACTTCCTGACGAAGGGGCGGCACTCTCCGGCCTTCAACCGGTGCTCCGTCGCGATCGGCCAAGTTCGTCTGGCTGACATTGGCGATGGTGACGACGATGTGCAGCAGTAGGTGCCGTGCCCTTCTGCACGGCTGGTGCGGTGACCGGCGTGCTGTGTGTTGTGTGCACGCTGACGAAGGATTTTCCCAGTGTATACTATCCCTTGGGTTCTGGGTGGACCTTGTGCGTAGGGTGCCCAAGCGTGAGCGCGGCAGGGGAGTGTTGAAGGAAATTGGCCCCGCCCTCGCATGGGCAAAACTGACTTTGTGGTCGGGTGTGCGGGAGGTGCAGCCGACCTTCTACAGGTGTTCGAGGGTTGCCTGTACACGAGGTGTACTAGGGAATCCATGCAAGAGTAAATGAAGCATCTGCGAGTGCAACACAGACTTCCCGTGCGCATGTACAAGTTGCGCAGCTCGTGCAGAAGTTCGCGGGTGTTCGTCTGCGCAGGGTCGCGTCTGACCCTGCGCAACCTTGAGACTGCACAGGCGAATTTTGGCCAGAAATTCGAATGTGCCCTAATTTCGACCAATCAGGAGCTGACATTTTGAAATGTCAACCGAGGTGCTCAACGAAGGTGTTCGACGAAGGTCGTCGAGCAGCGACGACGAAGGTCTTCAACCCGCGATGACAAAGGTCGTCAACCGGTGATGACGAAGGTCATCATCCTGCAGAGATGTCAGGGACTTCATCTGGTTGACCGAGTTACCTGCTCGACGAGTGTGCGAAGGTGTGCGAACGTCGTCGAGACTGTTGTGGCGAAGTCGACCAACGTGGCAGCACATGGTCGACGTGGCTCATCATGTGCAACTGTCAGCATGTGGCTGACAACCTGCGCAATGTACTTGACAGTGCACGTCGTGCATAACTGTCTACAAGCACCTGCGAAGTAGGTGCTTGCACATGCGCTTACAGTCACCTGCGGATGCAATGTTGACAAGCCGCGCGGATGCTGCGTTGGCAAGCCGCGCGAATGCAGCGTTGGCAGGCCGCCATACTGCAGCGTTGGCAAGTCGCACACAAGCTGCGTTGGCGGACCGTGGAGATGCTGCGTTGGCAGGTCGACAACTCTGTCACGCTGGCAGTCGACCTGCCTGAGCACTGGCAAACCTTGCATGTGATATAGTCCATCTTTGCCATTGCTTGTTATCATTTCTGAACTCTGTATTCTCAAATTTCCTTAGTGAAACTCTTGCTGTTTTACCCTGTGAAAACACAAGTCCTAGAGAACTCAGACAGAGCTTTGATTACTCCTACAACTCGTGCCCACCCCATAGTCTAGCTCCCACCGTTGTAGAGTTAATCTCCTCAAAAAGGCCTCGGAATGGCCGTGGGATCAGGAACCAGAGGAGGAACCTCTCGAATAGGTGTGGCAGAGGTGGCCAAATCGCGAAATTTCGTGCCAGAAAGGAGGAGGGTGGCAACGGGATCAGGAACCACCCTCCCCACCTTCCAATTCCCCGTTCCCACCCTCTGCACCCTTCCGATCCCATGGCCATCCCAAGACGATTCTGCTAGGTGGGGTGAATGGCGATGGAATGGCGACGGGATTTACGTTTGCCTGTAGAGGAAGCTGCCAAACCACTTTCCCACCCTCACGATTCCATTCGAAATGAATGAAAAAGAGGGCGTTCGACAGGCCAGCATGATTCCGTTTGGTTCGGACGGAATCATAGGCTCGGCAAGAATTTCGCGGGCTGACCTGCCTGACGGACCCTAACGAACTCTGACGGACAGGATCAGGAAGCCGAGACTGACCTTCCTGATCCCGACATTTTTGTTGTTAAAAGTGCTGGCGAACAACGCCTTTGAGAGTCGAATATGGTACATTTCCATCGTGAACTTGCTCGTTCCGCTAAAACTAGCTGACTATATCGGCTTCCTCGACATGCCCTAAACAATTATCACTGCTACGACCCAGTGAGGGCCAAGATGACTCACGAGCTGTAACCCTCTGTGACGAAACCACGATGCTTTCGCAACAATCTAAATTGTTTCTCAAGGAGGTCCGCGAAGCAATGTTATTTCGTTTGTAACTCTTTCCGAAAGAGCCGAACAAGGAGACCACCTTGAAGTGCGCTTCTTGTTTTCAGCGTCGGAGCGCATTACTGAAAAGTCGGCTGTATTGCTGCCAGCAATAATCTCCGAGTGCAAACCCGCTAACAATAATCTGGGAATGTTTGAGCAAAACAAGCACGACATAGCAAGCAGCAGCAGTTCTTGTGGAGGTACAAAGGCGAGAGCGAAGCTGATTCACTCGCCAAATCGCCTTCACCAACGAGCATCATAAGCTCCTCCTACCTGGTAGAACGTCCCTTGCTATTCGAGCCGTGGATTCAAATGCACGTATCGCGCGGGTAGTAGGCCTGCTCACTGTCATTCTGTCCTTCAGTCATTTCCAACCTGCCTTCGCCCTTCGAGTGCTAAGCAATCCCGCAGCAGCCCATGCCAGTGCTGATAGCGAAGCTTCTCTAGCGGGAGCTTCAGCCGCTACTGCCTCTGAAGTGGGAACAAGCGGTCCAGAGGCAGCGAGCGTGATGCAGAGCGGTGCAGCGGACCCGTGCACGCTGTGGAGTCAGGAAATCGCCACGAATGCAGGGATCTTGAACGTTGCGAAACCCTCTACAGTTCACGAATGCTTGCGCAATTTTAAAATCAGGTATAACGAGCGCATCTACTAAACAGAAATTTGATATTGCAAATACCGTGGCATTGACCCTCTGGAAAAACAAAACCAGCTCCATTTGAACAAGCGTTTCTGTTGACTTTGAGCAGAGAGAGTGACGTGGAAGATCTTCGGTCCGTGGTCAACGGAGTCAACAACCACTACGTGTACAAAGACACAGCCGTTGACTCGCCCGACCAGACGAACCTTCCCAGCAGCGTCGACATCGTCGCGGAGTTGACGGCCATTCTGCAGCGCGCCGAGCGGGGCGAATACGAACGGCTGATGGACGCCCACGTGGACACGTTCAACGCGATCAACGGTCTCAACGACGGCCACACGATGTTTCAGTCGAGATGCTTCTTCAGCATGGTCACCTTCCTCCTGCCGCTCCCGCTTTTCGCGGTCGTGGAGGACGGCCAGCAGATCGTTCGCGTCGCCACGCGCCGATGTGAGTCTGCCGCGCGATTCTAAAGTCCCTCACATGTACGCACGCACATTTGCGCTCACACGAACTCGTTTCTCAATTTACGCTTCATCTAAAATGTATACGTAACGCTTTTCCGTGGCCGTGTTTCATCGCGCCGTGTCCCTTCAGACCTGTCGTTATTCAAAGGGATCGAGGAGGACGCGAAGAAGCTCTGGGGTTTCGATCTTTCCGCCTACGAGTTACAACAGGTACGCTACTGTCGCTAAACGGGTACATTGAATAGGAGAAAAGCCACAATACCCATGGGTTGCAATATCGGGCAGTCGGGCAGTGTTCAAAGAAGTAGCAGTGCATGTGCAAAGTCCACCGAGACTGGGAGTGCCCCCCACTGAATTTCTAACATGACATTCCCATCAATCTTTCGCTACCACTTCAACTGGCAGTGTAGACCATCATTGGCAACTTTCCCCCTCTCTAGCGTCCCTGTTCCCTGCTGCAGGTGCTCACCATAGACGGCCTGCCGGCAGTGTTGAACGTCAAAAGATGCGGACAGGCATGGCGGCTGGTGGCATGGCGGCATGGTCCGCGCAACTGCACAACTCTCCTTCCTCACCGCCCTCCCTCTTCCCCTCCCGTAGGTACAAGCCATAGAGGGCCAGCCAGCAGTGGAGTACATAAAGAAGTGGGCGGACAAGCACGGCGGCATGGTGCGCAACCCCAGTGCACGCTTCAACATGATGTTTGCGGGGCTCGACGCAGAAGGGGCCGCCAGCTTGGGACAGCACGCGGGGGAGTTTGTTGTGCGGGAGCTGGTTCCAGAGAGAGACACGCTGCATTCCATTCTGAGAGGGTGAGTGAGAGCCTTGTGTTTTGTATTGTGGGTAGGTCCCTCGTAGCCCTGATTCTTTCCAGCCAGAGGGGAGGGCCAGCTTGAGGCAGCACCCGGAGGAGTTTGTTGTGAGGGAGCTGGTTCTAGAGAGTGACAACTTCAGGTGTCCGTTTTCAGAGGGTGAGCTTTATGCACACAAAACGGCAATTTTTTTTACTTCCTTATGAACCCTGTAAACATTAACTTCTGGTTGGTACCACTGAATCCTCATGCCCTGTTGTTCTATTGGCATCTTCTGCTGTCACTGTTTTGTTTGGGTTTTGTCCGGGTGGTTTCCCTCTCTGGATGCAACAGGGGGGCAGCGGAGAACGTGAGTGTGCCATGGATAGCTGTCTCGCGCTCAAAGCCCTAACGACTCGCACTCCTACTGGAACCTCAACTGCGCCAAGCACAGCGACAGCTGTCCAGGCAACGCTGCAAGGAACGGCCGCAGCGGCAGCAGTGGCAGTGGTAGCAGCAGCGAGGAGGCGCCACCTCCTATGTTAGAGCTTGATGTGCTGAGGATGCGACCCCAGTACCAGCAATACCAGCAGCCCCACAGGCGCCAGCAGCAGCAGCCACAGGAGAAGCAGGAGCGCAAGGAAGAAGCAGGGCCGTCAAGCAGTAAAGTGCAGAGCAGTGACAAGGTTGCACCCAGGATACTGGCTGGCGAGGATGGGGCAGCGATCACCATGGAGAAGGTGTCTGCTGACGATGCCTACTACCTGGTATGCGCGTGTGACTGTATGCGCGTGTGGCTGTGTGCAGTTGTGACTGTGCGCGTGTGACTGGGAGCGTGTGTGACTGTGTGCGAGTGTGACTGTGTGCGCGTGTGACTGTGCGCGTGTGACTGTGTGCGCGTGTGACTGTGTGTGCGTGTGACTGTGTGTGCGTGTGACTGTGTGCGCGTGTGACTGTGTGCGCGTGTGACTGTGCGCGTGTGACTGTGTGCGGGTGTGACTGTGTGCGCGCATGACTGTGCGCGTGTGACTGCATGCAACGTGCTGAAACGCTATCAAGAACCGCATTCAACCTCCCACCTCTCTCTCTCTCCCCTGGCCGGCCCCTCAACCCCTCTTAACTGCAGCACCACTCTCACGTGTATTTGTTGATCAACTGCACAGCAGAGATCGTGCTGCACCACGGCGAGTAAGCTGACCGTCACCAGCCCTGGCTTGCAACCCTCTACACCCCTTTAAACCCCTCTGCACCCCTGGACACCCATCTACACCCCTCTGCGCCCCTCCCAGGTGTATCTGGTGAGCAACCGCACGGCAGTGATCGTGCTGCACACATTCTCCGTGGACAGGACCACGCAAAGGAAGCTCGCAGTCACCAGGCCTGGCCTGGATCCCCTTGCATACCTCATTGGGGAGATTTTCAAAGCCATGGAAGCTGCCAGGAGGTAAGCTTGCGCTCCCTGCTTGCCCTCCTTGCTACTCCTCCCTGCTTGCCCACCAACCAATGCTTCCTTCCTGAAAACCTTTCTCCCAACTTTCCTCCAACAACGCCCGCCCCCCGCGCCTCCCCCCGCGCGCAGGACCAATTGCACGGAGGTCATATTCGACGTGCGCGATAACGGCGGCGGGGTCACCGTAATGGCCTCAGTCACAGCCGTCGCGCTTCTCGGCACGCGCAACGTGCCTCTAGCGAACGCAACCCTACCCATGGACTTCATTATAGGCACAAACTTCACCTGGAGCCTTGTGGCGGATGAGGCCATTCCCAAGTACGCCGCGAATCGCTATAGTCATCCCAGCGACGGCGCGTCGCTCCTCTCGTCTTCTCAAGACTACAAGCCTCTGCAAAACGTCTCCTTCTCAACCGCTGGCCGCGCCGGCACCTATACAGCGGATTTCAAGTCGAATTTCGATAAACTCTACGGCGCATTGGCGGAGCTTCCCGGGTCGGCGGAGCCGTTTTTCGGCGCGCGGCCGTTTCTGTTTCTGGCGGACGGCGACTGCTTTTCCACGTGCGCCATCCTCACGCACATGCTGGGTAAACGCTACAAAGTACCCATGGTAACCGTGGGTGGTTACCTCAACCAGCCCGTGTCCGTGAGCGCGTCGTGCCTGGGCTACACGATGCAATCGTTAAACTGCGACGTCTCGGTTCCGTTAAGCCGCACGAACCACGCCAACGACCCGCACGCGTCGAAACCGTTTAAGACGAACATGGATGTTTCCATGGCGTTTACTAACGGGTACGTGGACTCGAGCGTTCCGTGCGAGTTCGAATTTCTGCCGAGTCAGCGCCACGTGGACTACACCGTAGATCGCATCGACAAGCCCGAGGTTATCTGGAGCGACGTCGCGAAACTCTTCCCGGAATTGCCGCTGCCACCGGTGATCGCACAGTCGCAGGCTGCAGCGTAACTCTTCCGCAACTGCACCGTCAGTCACGCGAATCGGTTTGGTGAATAAAGAGGAGTTGCCACCGCAACCATCCTAGCATTGCCTAGCGAATAACGAGCACTCTCTGTGGATGTTAGCGAGTTTAGCATTACGCAATAACGAGCTGCGAATTAGTGCGTTTTGTACTTCGCAATAACGAGCTGCCTATTCGAGATGGCATGGTGTTCTCTGCATATGTTTGACACCTTAAATACTTCGTTATAAAGCTATCCGCTCTACCAGCTGGACAATCCATGTTTTGTTTTCAAGCACCAAGTGAAATATCATATACATATGTACTTTTGCTCTGCACCGTACCCCGCCTTTCCACTGTACCCACGAAATTCTCATGTCCGTGTTGTCAGAGATTGATCCGTGAGACAGGATAGTGTGCACAAGCCGTCGCACACGGGCGCCCTTGGTCGGGTGTCCCAAAAACACATCCAGATTCCACAGACGATCGCCCTGCCCCAGCCGTGCCGCACGGAAACAGCTGCTCCTCTCTTTCACTTCGCCGACCCATCCCAGATCTTGCTTGCCGTCAGCTCGCCGTCCATTGGCTGATCTGTCGGGCAGGCTTCTCTGTAGGATGCACGGATCGCTTTCCTCCTGCACTCCGTTGTGCACGTGTGCTCTTATCGCATCTGCTGTAGAGCTGGTTCACAGACAGCCGACTCCGCCCACAGCCATTTGCCTTGGGCAAAGAGTCGTCTCGTCTCATGCTGTTCATCCCCGCATCGCAAAGGCACGATCGGTCGTGCCGCCTGGTGCAATCGGATCGAGGATCAACGTCAGATCGGATGCATGCGCGACTGTGTTGCACGATCGGTGCATGTGATGTTCCTATATCAGAAATGTCTCCCCTTATCCAAATGCACAGTTCAGCATCAAATGTCTCCCTATTCGAAGTTCGAATCGACCGCCGAGGAGTGCGGCTGGTATTCAGCGTCGGAGCGCGCGAGTGAAACGTTGGTTCAACTTGAACATGCTCACCTAGCAATACTGTCCTGGCGTCACGGGCTCGCAAGCAGTGCCTGGAATATATGAACAGCGACATAGCAGCCGCAGTTTTGTCGTGGGGAGGATGCAAAGGCGAGTGAGCTGATTCCTCCTGCCTTTTAGAGTCGTTCCTTGTTGCCCAAGTCATGGGATGCCTCGCGCGGGTGGGCTTGCTAGCCCTCGTTCTCTCCATGATTCATTTCCAACCTGCCGTCGCCCTTCGACTTCTCGTAGACGATTCCAACTGCGCCAAGCCGCACAACGAGCCCTGTGCAGGCGACGCTGCTGTTGGCAACGCAGGCAGCAGCGGCAGCAGCGGTGGAGGCGGTAGCGGCGGCGGCGGCGGCGAACAGAGGGAGTTGCGGGAGGCGCTTCCTGTTTTTCAGCTTGATGCGCTGAGGAGACGACCTCAGTACCAGCAACACCAGCAGCCCCACAAACGCCAGCAGCAGCCGCAGCGGCAGTTGCAGGAGCAGCAGCCGCAGGAGCAGCAGCAGCAAGAGCAAGAGAAGCTGGAGGAAGCAAAGCCGGACCAAGTTATGCCGGAGCAAGAGAAGTATGAGGAGCCGATGCTGGAGCATCAGACGCAGGAGCAACTGGAGCAGGAGCAGCTGAAGCAGGAGCAGCAGAAGCAGGAGCTGCAGAAGCAGGAGCAGCAGAAGCAGGAGCAGCAGCGACAGCAGGAGGTGCAGAAGCAGGAGGAGGAGCAGAAGAAGCAGGAGGAGGAGCAGAAGAAGCAGGAAGAGGAGCAGAAGAAGCAGGAGGAGGAGCAGAAGAAGGAGGAGGAGGAGCAGAAGAAGCAGGAGGAGGAGCAGAAGAAGCAGGAAGAGGAGCAGAAGAAGCAGGAGGAGGAGCAGAAGAAGGAGGAGGAGGAGCAGAAGAAGCAGGAGGAGGAGCAGAAGAAGCAGGAGGACGGAGACAAGAAAGAGACGGCGGACCAGTTAAAATCGGATGAGGAGCAGAAGACGCCGGAGGTCAAAGACGTGATTGATGACCTGAAGCAGCTGCCAGAGGAGCAGAAGAGCAGCGACGGGGCAACAGGCACAGTGCAGAGTGGGGCATCGACAGGCAGTGATGGGGAGAGCAACGATGGGGCAGCAGACACAGTGCAGAGTGGGGCATCGACAGGCAGTGATGGGGAGAGCAACGATGGGGCAGCAGACACAGTGCAGAGTGGGGCATCGACAGGCGGTGATGGGGAGAGCAACGATGGGGCAGCAGACACAGTGCAGAGTGGGGCATCGACAGGCAGTGATGGGGAGAGCAACGATGGGGCAGCAGACACAGTGCAGAGTGGGGCATCGACAGGCAGTGATGGGGAGAGCAACGATGGGGCAGCAGACACAGTGCAGAGTGGGCCATCAACAGGCAGTAATTGGCAGAGCAACGATGGGGCAGCAGGCACAGTGCAGTGATCCTCCTGCTCCACTCTCACGCACGTCCTGAGTGAGCGAGCGCTACGTAGTACCCATGGTAACCATGGGTGGTTTACTCAACCAGCCCGTGATTGTGAGCGCGCCTAGCGTGGAGAACACCATTCTCTCGTTAATCAGACAAGTCTCAGTGTCTTCGAGCGTGGCACGGCACGGTGTCCCCTAGGGTCTTTCCAAGGGTCTGTCCGACAGAAGAGATGTTGCTGCAAGGGCTTTCGCCCTTCTTGTCCTGTTAGTTTCCGGTTAATTTCAGGTTAGTTTTGGCTCAGTAAGGACATTGACAGGGTTTGTTCTAAGAGCTGCCCGTTTTCCTTCGTGGCTTTTTTGGTTGGGTCGGGCCACTGGCAGGCCTGTTGTGGTTTAGGCCTGTTGGCCTGCCTGGGTGTGATTTTGTATAGGTAGCACAGAGTAGGATAGATTACGGTAGCTGGTGGGCAAAGTGTGCTACAGCATTAACACTCAGCTACATTAACATGGATTTCTACATTAAATGTTAATAGCACCACAGTAATTAGGTGTAGCCTAATTAACACTTGAAGGCTTGATAAGAAACTGGGAGCACTTTGGAAACTGCTGATCGACCAGCGAAGCCTTTGAAGCAGTGGCTTGATTAAAGCTCGCGTCTCATATTTACGAGCATTTAACCTTGGTTGGTTACGCACGTCCGTGATTGGTTTCGTCAGAAAGCTACCCCAGCTCGTCACAGATTTTGTGACTCGCCAACCAGTCACGGAGGCCAACCAATTGTTAAATCCAACCAGAGGCTACTTGATACGTAACTGCGTGGAATGATGAGGAAATTCTGAAACTGTAGTCGTTATAGCGAGTTGATGTAGGAATTCTTAGGGGGAGCAAGCTATTTGTTTGGGCTTGTTACGAGTGCAATTGAGTGAGCGAGCAAGAATTGCACTATCGAAGCAAAAGTACAATGAGCGAAGGCATGAGCGTAGAATATATAGCGAAGCTACAGTGGTAACGGTAATGCGTAGAAATTGGGGTGCGCGACGGGCCTGGCGCCGAGGTTGGGAAGTGTCGAGGCGGAGGTCCGGAGCGCGGGTTACCAACCGGACCGTGAGGTTGGGTCGCGTCGTGAACAGTGGCGGGAACAGTGTCGAAGCGAGTGTCGCGAGTGGTAACGGATTACTGTTGGGTGTTGTTGGCGGGAACAGTGGTGTACGTGTCAGATTACATTTGCATGTGTAGGCTGTAGTGGGGTAGCCCCTACTGAGTACAACACATTAGGTCAAACCTAGTACTTGTACTCATCCTTGCTTCCTAGTCATCCATTCCTGCCTATACTCTTGACATGGTTTCAGAGCAGTAGGTCCTTAGGACCGCCTTTTTTTTCGGGCCCACCTACCGCTACCCCACGAATGTGCCTGCACGCACTGTCTGCCTACTGTCTACTGTCTACTGTCTACTGTCTGAGCTGTCTGCTGCTGCTTCGCGCGTTCCCTTTTACCGTCTCTTCCCCTACCGCACTGCCCCTCTCCCCCCCCCCGCCGCTCTTCCTCGCTCCATGTGCTACCCAGGTAGACCCCCTCCCCGCTCCCGGTCCTGCTCCTTCAGGTGTGTCACGTTGACCCTCCCCCTCTGGTTGAGGTCACTGGTGACTCAGGTGCTGCTGAGGGTGGTGCTGATACTGGGGGTGCTGAGCCTGGGGGTGCTGAGCCTGGGGGTGCTGAGCCTGGGGGTGCGGAGCCTGGGGGTGCGGAGACTGGTGGTGCTGAGCCTGGGGGCACTGAGGCGTCTGGTGAGCAGTCTCCCGGGAGCGGCCGTCTCCGTAGTCGCTCCGCTGGTGCCTCGCCGCTACACTCTCGTCGTCGACTCCCTCTCTCTCCACAGCAGCTATTTGAGTGGTACGCTGGCCGTCAGGGCCCACTGCTGGAGCTAGAGGCCCTGCTGCGGGAGGCGCTGGAGCTGGTGACTCTGCCCCTGGAGTTGTTTCTACTGAGGGTACTGGAGCTGGAGGTTCTGGAGCTACTGGAGGTACTGAGCCTGGGGGTGCTGAGCCTGGAGGTTTGGGAGCTGCTGGAGGCACTGGCGCTGGTGGTGCTGGAGCTGGAGGTTCTGGAGCTGCTGAGGGTGCTGGCGCTGCGGGTTCTGAGTCTGCAGTTGCGCGGCTTCCTTGGAGTGGCCGCCTTCGTTCACGTGTGCTTCTCACCTCGCAGCAGCTGCACGACTGGTACGGTCGCCGTCAGGGTCGCGCTTCTGGAGCTCGGGGCTCTGCCACTGGAGGTACTTCTGCTGTCGTCCCTGGAGCTGGGAGTGGTGCTGGTCCCGGAGGTGCTCGTACTGGAGGTACTGGAGCTGCTGGGGCTGGAGGTGCTGAGTCTGAGGGTCCTGCTGCAGGAGGCACTGAGGCTGGAGACCCTGGGGCTGGAGGTGCCAGTTCTGGGGGTGCTCCTGTTGGTGGAGCTGGCCCTGGAGCTGGAGGTTCTGGAGCTGGGGGTGCTGCTGCTGGAGACACTGAGGCTGGAGACCCTGGGACTGGAGGTGCTGGTTCTGGGGGTGCTGCTGCTGGTGGAGCTGGTCCTGGAGGAGCTGGCGCTGCGGGTCCTGGAGTTGCTGGAGGTGCTGGGGCTACTGGGGGTGCTGGAGCTGCTGGTGCTGGTCGCCCGGCACAGCCGCGCCTGTTCTTCGCTCCACCGTCTTCGTCGTCTCAGCCACCACCTGGCTCTGTGCTTCGCCAGGTTCTTAGTCTCCCTTCGTCTACTGGTCTTCCGTTACAGCCTGGCTCACCACGGCCTGCTCCTTCTCCTTACACTGAGCAGTCAGGGGGTCTTACTGAGCGTCGTGAGCCTGCGTCTCGTCCTGTTTCGCCTGTTCAGTCTGGTCGTCCCGGTCGTAGTGTCCCTCGTTCGCGTCAGCCGGCTGTCCCCGGCACCCGTGTTGTCGTCCGTCGTCCTTCCTCTCCTCCGCAGCGTGTTCCCCTGCCTTCCCCTCCTGCGTCTTCTCTACCTACCGTCCCTGAGCCTGATTCTGACCGCACCCGTGCTGCTCACTCTACTGTCACGCGTCTGCTAGCCACTGTTGTCACTGACCCGTCGTTCGAGTCTGCTGCTGCGTCTGCCTTGGTAGCCGAGCTAGTTGACTTTGCTGCTGCCTGTTGTTTAGACTACGCCGCTAGTCTTGTTGCTGAGTCTGAGTCTGTCTGTCCTCCGTCCGTCGGGGGTGAGTGTGCTCTTGGCACGGACGTCCTTGAGGACAGGCAGGAGGAGTTTGAGTGCTTTGCTGCCGCTGTACCTCATCTCGTGTCCATGCTGCTTGCCCCTGAGGGAGACCCAGATGCTCCAGACATCCCGACCCCGCGCTCTTACGCTGAGGCGATCGCGGGTGAGTACTCCTCTCAGTGGCAGACAGCCATGGATGCAGATATGGCATCCTGGAAGTCCACTGGCACCTACGTCGACGAGGTTCCCCCTCCCGGGGCGAACATCGTCAGTGGCATGTGGATTTTCAGGGTGAAGCGGCCGCCAGGTTCTCCGCCTGACTTCAAGGCTCGGTACGTTGCTCGAGGCTTCAGTCAGCGAGAGGGAGTAGACTTCTTCCAGACGTTCTCCCCCACCCCGAAGATGACCACTCTTCGGGTGCTGCTGCACGTTGCCGCTCAGCGTGACTACGAGCTTCACTCTCTTGACTTCAGCACTGCTTTTCTACAGGGCAGCCTGCACGAGGAGATCTGGCTGCGCCGCCCACCTGGCTTCACTGGGTCGTTTCCTCCTGGTACCCAGTGGAGCCTCCGGCGGCCGGTCTACGGTCTCCGCCAGGCGCCACGTGAGTGGCACGACACACTGAGGACTACACTTGCGGCTCTTTGGTTCTCGCCTTCTACTGCCGACCCGTCGCTGTTTCTGCGCACCGACACTTCACTGCCGCCGTTCTACATCCTCGTGTACGTCGACGACTTGGTCTTTGCCACTGCTGACACTGAGGCTCTCGCCCACGTGAAGTCCGAGCTGCAGAAGAGACACACGTGCACAGACCTGGGTGAGCTGACAAGCTATCTTGGCTTGCGGATCACCCGGGACAGAGCACGCCGCACCATCACACTGACTCAGTCACACATGGTGCAGCAGGTCCTTCAGCGCTTCGGCTTCACCTGGTCCTCGGCACAGGCCACTCCTCTGGCTACAAGTCACTCGCTCTCAGCTCCACCTTCGGACGAGTCCGTAGAGCCGAGTGGTCCTTACCCAGAGCTAGTTGGTTGCCTCATGTACCTGATGACTTGCACTCGTCCTGACCTCGCGTACCCTCTTGGCCTTCTGGCTCGCTACGTGGCTCCTGGTCGGCACCGAAAGGTGCACATGGATGCTGCAAAGAGAGTACTGCGTTACTTGTGCAGTACGTCGGGCATGGGGCTCGTGCTTGGAGGGAGGCGCTCAGTTGTTCTTACTGGGCACTCAGACGCTTCTTGGGTTGACGACCAGGCTACTCAGCGGTCGTCACAGGGTTACACCTTCAGCCTTGGCTCTGGTTCAGTTTCTTGGCGTTCTACTCGCTCGTCTTCAGTTCTCAGCTCCAGTTGTGAGGCTGAGATCTACGCCACAGCCATGGCTGCACAGGAGCTACACTGGCTGACCTACCTGCTGACTGACTTGGGAGAGCGGCCTAGTTCTCCTCCAGTGCTGTACGTCGACAACAAGGCTGCCATTGCCTTGTGTGAGGAGCACAGACTGGAGCACAGAACGAAGCACATCGCTCTCCGTTACTTCCTGGCTCGAGAGCTGCAGCAGCGCGGTCAGCTTCGTCTGCGTTACGTGGCCACTCAGGCCAACACTGCTGATATATTCACCAAGGCACTTCCGCCTGGTGATCATCAGCGCTTTTGTACCTTGCTGGGCCTTGTGCCCACGTTTCCTCACTTACTGTAGACTCTGCTTGTACTGTGATCTATATATCTATACCTACTTGCTTGCTCTGTTAGGTAGAGATCACTGTACTGCTGTTGTTGCATATATATATCTGCATGTGAACTGGCC